TGGGGCGGAGCAGCGAGCTGGATGCAGACAGCCCGAGGGGGCGAGGCCGGCCGACCTCGCCGTTGTCAGTCCAAAGACGCCCCCGTTTGCTTCCCCCCGTGCCTCCGCCGTTGTTTTTCCCTCGTGGCGTATTTTAACCCTCGCCCCTCGGCGTGCGTAGCCCCTCTCGTACATGCAGGGGTGCGAGGTCGTGTAAGAACACGCAGCAACAGAGAAGTCCTTAGCTCTAAAGAAGCGTGGCTTCGTGGGTGAACGCAGCGGTGGACCGTCAGCTCTAAAATAATCCTAAGTCCTAAAGCCTTAAACGGTCGCGCTGTTCCGCCGTTCCACCTAGGAACGGGGCCTGTCTCGGATGACACCGGTGCTGTATCGACCCTGCCCGCGAGACCGAAGCAACCGCAGCTGCAGAAATGCGAATGTTTGTCCTTCCACCATCTGTGTGTTCTTTGTTGTGTTATTCTACGCCTCAAATAGAAAAATAAACCCGTTGCTGTTCCGATTGACTTTTTCCTGCGAGTCTTTCATCTTTCTGGAATCTCATTGTTTATCTGAGGAAGCGCTCAAAACCAGCGTTCCCTCGTCTCGTCTAACGTGTGCAGAACAGTCAAAATGACTTGTCTGTCGCTTTCTAGACCTTTTTACCATATGTCGTGGTCAACAGGAAGCTCTTCTGTTGGGTCAGGTGGATAACAACGTTTCCTTTGGTTAAAAATCATTGGCTGTTTTGCTGGTAATGTTTTTCCTTGTTACTTCCAAGGTGGTTGTAAGATAAACCAAACAAACGGGATTTCCCAAAGCACACGGTGCTGAGGCCGTTCAGTGTCTCGTGTTCAGAGCGGCCGGTGTGGAGGATGGTGCAGAACAGACGCGTGCTCGAGCAGCCATTCCCAGTTCGCTGTCCTCGCGCGCTCTGTGTGCGAGTGGGGAAGCACTTTGTGCCACGGAGAGGGAAAGCAGATTCTCCTTCTCTGCCAGGTTTGCCGGACGCTGCAGACCAGCGCCTGCGGTGCAGGCACGCGTGGTGGTGCCTCCAGAGGACGGTCCGTTGGTATCTCTCGGCATTTGTCGCTGCAGCCTGTGGCCGTGTCCCCCCAGCGTGACCGGTGTGATTCTTCCGCCGTAGCCGTCGGCCCAGCAGTAACCACTCTCGGCACCCACGGGAGACCGGACTGGCTGCGGGAGGAGAGGCTGGGTGACTCACGGGCTCACGTGCTGGAAGAGGCTCCTGCCCTTGTTGTCTCCTTCCTGCCGCTTTGGCCGGGGCTGCATCAGCCCGGGATGAGATCAGGCCGTTACAGAAACCTGACCTGCGGATGTGGGGCCAATCAAGTCATCATCAGTGTTGCCATAACTTCATTATCATCAGCACCGGGCTTTTTATGTGCTTATTTTGGTTGCTCCAAATTGTTAGCAACAAAAACTGGACGTTGTCCAGAGGAGAGGAAAAATAACTATGGATGTAGAAACTCATGGGGAAAGGTGAAAAGGATGGTTTTGTTTAACCTGTGAAAGCTCGATAGAGAGAGGGCTCAGCTCTGTACGTGTGCTGCAGAGGGGACACCGTGAGAGGACAAAAGTCCTTGTGTTGGTTTGAATCAAGTGAGACTTGGACCAGATCTTTGGAAAAACTTTCCAGTTACGAGACGACTTAAATCCTGGAACAAGTTCTCAATAAAGGAGTCCCCTCTTTGCAGGGATAGGGATGTCTTTTTAAGAGCACGTCAGAACGATGTCTGTCAGGGAATCACCTAAATGTAACTGATGAGATGACTTGTTTGGGTCTCCTCCAGTCCCCAGTTTTTAATGGTAATTTTTCCGTGGATCTGTGTGGTAGGTGCGCATGACAAAACACACCAGCCTGCGAATGTCTGCCAGACACGAACAGCCGTTTCGCAGCTGGGGTTACCCGAGTTCTTCTTTGATTCACAGAGAGACTTTGGACAAGTCCCGCCTGTCTCCAGTGTCCTCAGTGCGGATAGGCTTGTGGGGCGGGCAGGCTTTTGGCGGCAGCGGAAAGCCTGTTGAGCCCAATCCCACATCCTGGTTTGGCAGCGAGACTCTTGCGGGCAAAGCTTTGTTATCCCGCTGGATCTTCAGGACGGTGTTGGGTCTGCCCTTGCAGGTCACTGCAGGGCCGCGGCGTAAGAGGACGAGCAGCACAGGGGGGTCGGGAAGGAGGAATGGGATCGTAGCCTGTAAACTTTAACTGCATGACATTATTCCTTAGCATCAAACGCTGTAAAATTATACCAGCCTTCACAGAAAGACAGCTGGCAGGACATCGCAGAGGAGCCTGCGTTTCGGTGGGCTGAGGAAGGGGAACAGAAGGGAGAGAGAAACCGAGCGGTTTGAATGCCAAGAGCCCCTTTCCCATCGATCCATGTCAGCCTCAGGAAGCAGCGGGGACGTTCCGTGTCTGCGGAGCCAGGTGGGCACGTGGAGGGGGTCTGAGGTGAGCTCCTGGCACCCCGTGGAAGCGGGGTTTATGTGGATGCTGCAAGCTCTGCATCGGAGTAGTGACGACCTGCCCTGGCCGCAGCCCAGCCGTCCCCGGGAGGATCCGGGTGCAGGAGCAGTGCTGCTCGTCACTGTGGGCATTTGCTCTTTTTTTCCAGGTCTTTACTCGCTCTGGCTTTTCCTTTTGCAAACGACTGCGGCACCAGTGTCTGTAAGATCCTGGTGAGGGGCTGCACACGCCTGCCGCGTCCTGCCACAGCAGAAGATGCGATTTTTTGGTTTACTTTTCTCTATTCACCCCCTGGCTTCTCATGAGACTGGTGCTGCACTGCAGGTAATCAATGAGAACCATGAAATGGCTGATGAGGAGAGGGGAAACACGACCAAAAAGCATTCGGAGGCCCAAATAATGTTCCTGGTGGGCACACAGCGATCATTAGTCCCTCCTGAGAGCGAGCCAGAGGGCTCTGGTGCACATCCCCACTCTCCATGGACCTGCGCTGCCATGTGCGATGGGTGCAGGTACGGTCCTGCTCTGCGGGATCCGAATCGTGTCGCTGGAACAGGACCTGCAGGATTCATCTCTCCGAGGTGTTTATTTCGGTAGAGAAATGTGCTTGTAAGGCGTTCTCCTTCATTAGTTCCCTAAATGTTAACCAATATTATGGTCTGCTAAAACGGAAAGGTGCCAAAACGATGGCGTTGTTCCCAAGAGCTGGCGGGCGAGCGCGGGGGCAGAGGTAGAGGCAGAGCTCTCCGCTGCGGCAGTCCCGGGGTTGGAAGGAGCCCCGCGGTCCCGCAAGTTGTTCCGGATCGTTCGCCAGATGCGTGGAAGGGAGTCGGTGCTGCCGACGCCAGCAGGATGGCACAAACTGCTCCGCGGGGTGTCCTGCTTGACAGTGATTAACAGCGACAGCAGCGCACGATAAGCACTGGGCCGTTGGGTTAAGCCGTGGAGCTGCGCGGTGTGAAACACTGGATCTTCAACAGACGCGGGCGGTTTGCGTGGAAATTGCATCCAAATTGAGTCACGGCCACGAGGAGAAGACTCAACCTGTACTTAAAGCATATTTCTTGCAATGAGCCCTCTTCCCACACAGGTTTGGCAGCACGGAGCCGTGCACCTTCCTGCTCCTGAGTCATACTTGCACAGTCCCTTGCGCTGCACCTGCATCGCTTTGACGTGACTTTGATGGAAAGCTCTTTGAGCAGGAACTTTGCCTTTTCAGTTTTCACGGCGCACACTTGCTTAGAATCGTAGAAATAATGTCGAGCTCAAACCAATTAATTTCACTCGCCCCACAGTTGCAGATTTAAACTCTGTCTTTTGATCCAGCAAGTCCAACCCATTCTTGCCTGGTGCTGGTGTGTCCTGGCCAGACCAGTCCTTAAATTCTCCTATAATAGTGACTGCACTTTGGTTTGTGTGCAATTGAAGAAGAAATAATTAAGTAGGGAAGGAAAAAATTATGAAATCAGATTCTGACTAGCACTTCTGTGTGACTTGAGAATAACTTAATTTAAATGGGTTGACACTCACATAATTGAAGTTACTACTTAATCTGTTATCTCAAACATATTAAATAA